ATATAAAAGACTGCCATGCCCTGTTAATTATATGATACAGGTAGTTTTTAACTCAGTTTCAACGCTTTTATTTTTAAGTGTCAAAATATTTTTTCAGTTTCCAGTCTTTTTCTTTTTTTTTTCAGTTCCACAATTTTTCTCTCTTAAACTTTATGGCTCTCCATAGTTGACTTCCTTCGTTTCTTTGACTGTCAATATCCCCTTCAAACACCACAAGAAAACTCGTCTCATTAGAAGCAAAACATAAAGAAACGAGAGATGATTCATAACGTTTGCACAGTCCTGATTGTTTTGCCTTTTTTTCTGCTCGTATGGGCATGGTATGAGGGTCTGTGCATTGATCCAAACAGAGCTGATAAGAAGCTATGACTTGAGTCAGTCATGCATGTAATGGCGCCGTGTTTAGCCTGAAGCGGACGCTCGGATGACACTGTGAGGGTTAATGAAGTGTCAGTGGAAGAGAAAGTCTAGGCCGGGACCATTCACCTGGCCAGCGTCGCTGAACGGGGAGAGGCACCCAAAGGAGAAGAGGAGGGGAAGAAGGGGTGGGTGGGTTATACCTTACTGCGCAACAGCCCCCCTGTCGGGTGCTCAGGAGTGCTGCACTCTGAGGAGTTTTTGGCTTTATCCTTGTTGTTGTTGGGCTCGTTGTCTTTGATTATGTCATACTGGCGACAGAAGAGGGCAATCACGCCTGGAAGGAGAGATCACAGAGGTTCTGCTTATGATTTTCTGCTATGTTAATACAGAAACAATAAAGCCTGCTGGATCCAGGGTTTATTAAAAAAAAAGCTTGTCCTCACCTGCCCACATAATAAGTACCACCACAATGATAATGAGCTCCCCTGCTCTCAGCTGGGTCGTCTGGCCTACTTCCTCCATTGTCACTTCGTCTGAAGGGAACAGGTACCAGAACATGGGTTATTAAAAAAAAATCAATTTCACTAGAAAACATGGGAGAAATAAACTGTGGTAACCCATTTATCTTTAAAGATCTAACTCAGTAAAACAGCCCAGATCACTTTGTGTCTTTAATAATAATAATAATAATAATAATAATAATAATAATAATAATAATAATAATAATTTTCTGTTGATGTTTCTCTTCTGTATCAGACAGTAAAGATGTTTTCACATTATTGCTGCCTGTTATGAACCTGAAAGTCAATGAGTGTTTAAGTGACTCTGGACTGCAAATGAAGGCCTATAAAATCATCGAAATGCTTCACGAAATATATTTTTTCTTTTACACCAAAGCTTCAGATTTATTCCTAAAAATGTGGGGAGAATGTGAGAATGGCCTTTTGTGGCTGGAGAAGCAGGAGACTTGAGGCAGAGAAACAGGTGCAGACMCACTGRGTGTTTATTCACCAGCAGTGAACACGAACAGAGAACCCTGTTTCACAGGTCACACAGAGTCTCAGCAGGACAACAACCAAATGTTACTAACAGGCAGACTTTTATAGCCTATTATCCCCTCCCATTAACAGACCTACCATGAAACAGGGTTAACAAAAATAAACATATGTACTTTAACAAACTTATTCAAAATAACTGAAACATCAACATTTTATTTAACATTATTTTTCACTAAGCAAATGTTTAAAAACATTTTTCTAAACCTAGATGTAAATCAATAACCTTAAATTTCTAAAGTGCACAAATTACTTCCCCCTTTCAATCCATAATGGTCTCTTCCGGAACCTTTAAAAGGTGCTCAGGCCCCTGGGGACTCTTTTAGCCTGAACACCCTGCAGAGGTTGTTTGCTTTAATGTGGTTTTAAAGCTAAAAAAAAGCAAATCTATTGATCATAATGAATTTGTTTGTCTGAAATTTTAAAATATGATTACACGCTTTGGTTGTAGCAACAATCACTAATTTTCTTTCTAATATCTGGCTTTAGATATGGGAAACATATTTAACTGAGTCAGATTTGAGGTGAAAAGTATTATGAATTCAGGGTGCATCATTTGGAGACGTGAACGAAACATTGAGAATCTTTTCTTTTAAAAAAATGTTTTTATGCATGACGTAGGAGGAGCTTTATTTATTTACTGTTATTTATCCAGGCAATAGTTGGGATCGCAGATTTATTTTTCAAGGGTGGCCTGGGCCTGAAGGCAACCTGTTGGACGTGTTTTTAATTTGTGGTGGAAACCAGAGTACCTGGAGGAAACCCACGCAAACATGAGGAGAACGTACAAACTCCGAACCGAAGAGACTTTTGTCAAACTAATTTTATGGTAAGATACTTGTACTTTTACTCAAGTATCACTTGAGGTACTTTAAACAACACTGTGTTCAACTCAGGGATTGAACCCAACACCTTCATGCTGTGAGGCATCGGCRCTAACCACTGGTCCACTGCGCTGCCATGATTTGTTGTTGCCAATATTTGTTGAAGACACGTCTGATCTTTACAAATCATTGTGCAAATCTCTAATGGCGCATGCAAATAAAACATCTCAGGACTTCAGGAAATGAGTTTTTCCTGTTCATCGGGTTTGAAAGTCTCTAAAATCACCTGTAAATTACAACTGGACTTGACCAGATCATAAAAGGCAAAAAAATAAAAGGTTTTTCTTGGCTCTGCCCGGACGAGTCAACAAAAAAAAAGTGTGCTTCCTGAGACAACTGCAGAGTTGTATGGAGGACCAAACCTATCATTATTGGAAATAAATGTATAAATATATAACTGGCGTATTAAAATAAATTATAGGGTCAAAAAGAAGTTTTTTTTCTAAGCTAAACTAGACCTCGGCCAATAGGCGAGAAG